ACAAATGGCAGAGTTGGCCAAAGTTTCTGGCATGAGCAATTGGGTGAATAGTAAAGTACCCACTAATATCGGAAATATCAGAAAAACTTGGAAAGAACATCAGGGGATTCTGTTTGAGATAAGAAAAGAGAAAGATTTTTATGAAATATTCAAAAGGATATTTCCAACAGGAAACTGAATATTTTAATAAGGATTGAGACTACTCATAAACTAGGTAACTATTATCATCAATATATTATATAAAGTAATCAGAATATATAACATTATATTGTGTGTAGAATATAGATTAACAGAAGAAGATGATCCTGTAACAGACATTAATATTCCAACATATATATGGCTGGAAGAATTCCAAAATATATATGGCAGAAGAATTCCAACATAAGAATAAGGAGAAGTGGGCAAGTGTATGAAATAACAATTAGAGAAGTATAAAGGAAACCAAGAATGTGTTATTAAACAAGCTCAGAAAAGAAAATATTTTCAAAGAAAAGAAAATGATCCTAATATTATTTAAGGAACACTGGTTCTAGCACTAAGCTGCTAACCAAAAGGCTGGCAGTTTGAACCCAACAGCCTCTTTGTAGATGAAAAATGGGGCAGTATGCTTTTGTAAAGATACAGCCTCGGAAACCCTATCTCAAAATTCATTGTCATCGTTTCTGACTCATAGCGACCCTGTATAGGGTTTTAGAGACTGTAAATCATGATGGGAGCAGAAAGTCTCATCTTTCCCCTGCAGAGCAGCTAGCAGATTTGAACTGCTGACCATGTAGTTAGCAGTCTAGTGCTCATCCAATAGTGCCACCTGAGCTCCTGTAGACACCCTATATCACAGTTCTATTCTATCCTATAGGGTCACCATGTCAGAATTGACTTCACTGTAGTAGGTTTGGTTTGGTTGGGGTTTTTAGCAACTAAGACTTGGCAGCAACATAAAGACTGAAATGTACCCAGTAATCTGGCAACATACAGGTTATTGGTATCGACACAAAAAACAGTTTTGATGATAAGTTAAAAGTAAATGGAAGCCAGCAACTAGAAACAGACCAACAGAGGGAACTTATAGTCACCAAAAGAAAAGAAATAACAAAGATCAGAGCAGAAATAAATGAGATAAAAAACAGAAAAGCTTTAGAAAGATTCAACAGAACAAGAAGCTGGATCTTTGAAAGGATTAATAAAATTGACAAACCAATGGCAAACCTAACAAAATAAAAGAGAAGACACAAACAACATGCATTATAAACTACATGGGTGAAGTCACAACAGAACCAAAGGAAATCAAAGGATAACAACAGAATACTATGAAGAGTTGTACTCCAACAAATTTGAAAATTTAGAAGAGAAAGATACATTTTTAGAAAAACATGACCTACCTAAACTTACACAGAGTGAAGTAAAACACTTGAACAGATTTACAACATTAGAAGAAATTGATCAGGTTATCAAAAAACTCCCAACCAAAAGAAGTTCAGGCCCAGATGACTTCACTGGTGAGTTCTACCAGATATTCAGGGAAGAGTTTTCACCAATTCTACTCAAATTATTCTAGAATATAGACGAGGATGGAAAACCTCCTAATACATTTTATGAAGCAAGCATAACCCTCATAGCAAAACCAGGGAAGGACATAACTAAGAAAGAAAATTATAGACCAATAACCCTCATAAACATAGATGCAAAAATTCTCAAGAGAATCCAGCAGCACATTAAAAAAATAATACATCATGACCAAGTGGGATTCATATCAGGTATGTAAGGATGGTTCAACATTAGAAAAACAATCAGTGTTATCCACCATATAAATAAGAAAAAAAAAAAAAAAACATGATCATATCGATTGGTGCAGAAAAGGCATTTGACAAAATCCAACATCCATTCCTGATAAAAACACTCAACAAAAAAGTAGGAATTGAAGGAAAATTCCTCAACATAATCAAGAGGATATATACAAACCCAACAGCTTACAATACTCTCAACGGAGAGAAACCGAAAGCCTTCCCCCTGCGAACAGGAACCAGACAAGGTTGCCCTTTGTCACCACTACTATTAAATATTGTGCTAGAAGTCTTAGCAAAAGCTATACGGCAAGACAGGGAAATCAAATGGGCACAGGACATGAATAGACACTTCACCACGAGGAGATCCGGGCAGCCAACATATTAAGAAATGTTCACGATCACTAGCCATTAGAGAGAGAGAGTTGCAAATCAAAACAACAATGAGATATCATCTCACACCAGCAATAATAGCAAAGATCAAAAAAGTAGAGGACAGTACATGTTGGCAAGGATGTGGAGAGACTGGGACCCTCCTTCATTGCTGCTGAGATTGCAAAATGGTCCAACCACTCTGGAAAACAATATGGCACTTCCTCAAAAGGTTTGAAATTCAGATACATTATGATCCAGCAATTCCTTTACTTGGTATTTATCCACAAAAAATACCAGCCATAACATGAGTAGATATATGCACAGCAATGATCATAGCAGCACTATTTACAATAGCAAAAAGATGGAGATAGCCCATCAATGGAAGAATGAGAAACAAACTATGGTAGATACACACAATGGAATATTATGCTGCTCTGAAGAATAACAAGGAAGCAGCAAGCCACTGCATAACATGGATAAACCTTGAGGACATTATGCTGAGTGAAATCAGTCAGTCACAAAAGGAGAAACATAGCATAGGAAAATTATTATAAAAAGATTAAGAAAAAACACCTACACTAAAAGTTGTTGTTGTTGTAAAGTGTCGTGGAGTCGGTTCTGACTCATAGTGACTCTGTACAGTGTTTCCGAAGCTGTAAATCTTTACGGGAGCAGAAAGCCTCATCTTTCTCCCACAGAACAGCTGGTAGTTTCGAATTGCTGACCTTGCAGGTTCACAGCCCGATTCGTAACCACTATGCTACCAGAGCTTAGGGAACATTTTTAACTTTTTTTTTTCAATTTTTGTGTTGGTTACTGGGGTGTATGGGATGGGGTGTGGGGAAGGAGGGGAATGTAGAGCACAGGGTAGAGAATAGGCACAGGATTTGGAGCACAGGGTATGTAATAGACATAGGATAGTTTGGGTGCGGTGGGGGGGGGCACACACTAGAAGGGGAAGGGGAAAGGAAAACCAAGGCAGATGGGAAAATAACTAGGCAGGTTTACATGCGCTCAACAGGACAAAGCTAAATAGTAATGTAAGCACAACCGTGGAACAAGAGGGCTCGTGGATACAAAGAAGGCATGGTTTGAATGGGTAAAAGTAGGGTGGGGGAATAACGTTAAGATGCTTGACTGTCTTTTCAATCTTGGTTTCCCTTGCCTACTATTGTAAAATAGACACTTGAAGGGGAGAGAGAAGAATAGCCAGAAACATCACCAAAGAAAGCTTGAAAGTTCGTCTTCAACCTATAACTGATTGGAATACCTAAAACGGGGCTAGAACTTGCCCAGTGAAGGAGGCTCCCTGCAGAGCCTTTGCATTGCACAAGAACATAGGTAGAGTCCTGATACCCATCCAGAATCTTCTGAGGTGGGACATTTCCATTTGAAAAGACAAGCAGACCAGTCTGGAGCAGCTAGAAGAACAGAAAATACTTCTTGAGAGAGAGACCAGCAGGAAAAATAAAAAATAATAACAGCAGTCCAACTGACTACTACAAGAACAAGCAAGTTGTTCCCCAGGGAGCCATCAAGACAAGTGGTCAGGTCCTCTAAAGGCAAACCCCGTTCCAATACTGAAACTCAAATGGAATACACTAGAAAGCATATGGCCCTGCTGCTGACCCGTTGGTCACCAATAAGGGGAAGTGGGGGAAAAATATCAATAAAGTTGTTAACTAAATCTGACCACATTCAATAGACTCCTGTTAACCTGGATTGAGACCTGGTTAACCAGCAGTATGACGAGACCTGGGGACTCGTGAGCCCAGGGGTAGGGACATGGCCCCAGAGGACTAGAATGGAGTATGAAGTATTCAGCTGATATGAAGTGAGGGGAGATGCACAAGAACACCCACACTTGCAGATAGTACCCATTTTACCTGGCATCAGTGGCTGGATTATCAGAACATGACTAGAAGAAAGAAGAGGCAAAAAAAAAGAGAAAGAGTAATCCACTACAAGTGAACAAACTTGACCTATGTTTGTGGACGAAGTATGACAAAAGAACAGACAAATCTCTACAGTGAGGATCATTCCCACCCCCTTGGTACACAGGGTCGACAGGGATGGGGAACTTAGACATTGGCTACCAAATATGGGGGGACTACAAAGGTAAGAAGTGACTGGCTTTCAAGCTTTCAATAGGGAACCTAGCTCCAGAGGATACAGGGAAAGGTAGAACCTCCACTGAATTGGTTCCAACCTGTCTGGATGGGGTTGATAAAAGGTGAGGGGGAAAGGACTCCTTTGGTTCACTAGGGAATGATTGCTATCAGGTCTGACAGTGAATGTTAGAAAGGTAAATGTAAATGTTTGGTAACAAACGGAGGGGAGTGGCTGATTTTGCAGTCCAGGAGTGGAGATCCCTGGACCATCAAAGGAGAAAAGTGAACTGTGAGACCCTCTCCAGGGAGTAAGTGACACTAGGGATGGAGGTAGAGAGGAGGACGTGGACAGAAGAAGCGGCTGGCTGGACACTCTGGTGGCCAGGGGTCAGAATTGTGGGGTGTACCCTTTGGTTGTCTGATGATGCATGTAGGGGATTGTGATCATTGCAATGAAACAAAATATGACAGGATGAATGTAAAGATAATGTTCACCTATGTAAACTAACACATAATTCACAATAAAAACTTTAAAAAAAAAGTAAGTGGAAGATTGGATGAAGACAGAAGAGGAAAAAGCATTCCATTGCAACAGCTGATTTATCAGAAATATAGCATTCCTCTTTAATACAGAGTCACTCCAATTATATAAAATACAATGGTAAACAATGTGAAATACAAATAATTCTAAGTTAGTATAGCATAATTAGGAAGCAAAAGTAGCACAACTTACCATGTCTGAACTAGAACTGAAACTGCTTTCTGTTTGTCTTGGAGAGTAATTAGTAGACTGACTACTCTGTGAAGAATCAAAATCTGAAAATAAAGATTGATTCATGAAGAATCATACTAATACTATATGAAATATACATAAGTATAAGATCTCCACTAATAAAATAAATTTAGCTAACATACCACACAACACTGTAAAATGTTAGACACTAGATAGTTTGAGTTTCTAACAAGATATATGGTATGATTCTACATTTAAAATACTGGTTTCTACAAGTAAAATAAAGATATGTAGCATAAGCAATGAGTTCTAAGTGGTGCAAATGGTTAATATCCTCCTGATAGCTAAAAGGCTGAAGGTTTGAATCTACCCAGAAGTGACTAAGAAGGTCTGGTGAGCTGTTTCTGAAAAATCAGCCAGTGAAAAGAATAAAAGGCACAGCTCTATTGCGACATACATGGGGTCAGCATCATGAGTTAGAACTGACTCAAGAACAACTGGCAAACTGATTATCACCAGCCATATGGTATCAAAGAAACAAAAACAGAGAAATATGGATGGATTTTTTCCCAATATATGAACCTTTTTTTTTTTTTCGGTGAATACTCAAAGTGACAACCTGTAGAAATAAAAAATAAACCAAGGTTATTAAGTTCTAACTTGCTAATCTAGTAAATTAAGCTTCGTTTTACAATGAAAACGAAGAGAAAAATCTATTGAAAGCATCTAATATATATTCATTATCTGCTTCATGTGTTATCTTAGGGTTCTAAGCAAACATTTTTTAAAAGGCCTGGAAAGTAGGGTATGACTTCCTACACTATATACAAGCGCGAGCGTTAACCACACCTTCTTTGTTTATGAAAACAGATTCACTATTGTCCAGCAAATTACTGACTATGTCCCTTCTAGTCATAGTCTTTGTAATTCCCACCAAACATCCCTTTTCCTGATGGGTCTGAGTAAATGAAGGCGGGGAAAGATGCTGCCAGGATTATATGATTCAGCTGTAAGTTATGGCAGATTTATATGATTCCGTTGTTAATAGGGTTAATTGATTGTAAAACTCTAATTCCCTCATTAGAATTTTACAATCAATTAACCCTATTAACAACTGAATCATATATAATGAGGGAATTTGGAGTCCAGGTGTGGCGCTCTAGGATCAGTGCTGGGCCATACATAAGGTCAGTTTAAACCAGAAGATCAGTGGTTCAAATTTACCAGCCGCTCCTCGGAAACCCTATACAGGGTCGCTATGGATCATAACTGACTCAATGGCACACCACCGCCACCATCACCAATGAAGGACTTGGTCACTTTTGCCATCCTGCTGGGTTTAAAATGAGCCTTCTCAGAAGCAGGAAAGGAGATCTCACTAACATCAAGGAAAAAGAGCCAAGAGTACAATGTGTCCTTTGGACTTCAAATCCCTGCACAATGAACCTTCTCAATCCAGAACAGAAAGCTGTGACTCCAAAGAAGTGGCAGAGGAGCAGGAGCAGCAGAAAAAAGAACCAAAGCACTAGCTTCCGGCCCATGGAACAATTAAATGTAAGTGCTTTTAGGACGAAGGCTCCCTTATGGAGTGGGGTTTGTTGACCCATGGAACTAGAGCTGAGAGTCATGGGATGAGGCTTATAGCAGAGTGGAAATCTCTTTGGGCATTTATCAGTAATGGTAAGAGCTTTGTAACATTGCTGGCACAAGGCAAACCTTTATTAAAAGGCCATGGCTGAGGAGCCAAAGACCAGAGACAGAGACTGCAGGCGTGGCTTAGAAGAACTGTGCCATGAGCATTTCTAAATCCTGTCTTGTAATCTGTTGTTTTCCCTAATAAACCCCCGTAACTGTGAGCATGGTGTGTGAGTTATGTGTGACAACTGCAATGAATTATTGAACCCAACTAAGTAGAGAGTGCTGTGGGAAGGAGGGTGATTTTCCTTCTCCCTCCTGTATTCACAAGAGGTCAGAGGTCCCTCCCACACTCGTTTCTTACAGTAACAACAACAACAATAATAAAAGTAATGGAATATGGAGCATAAACACACATCAAGACACATGCTCTCCTGTAAGCAATAAAACACGATCAAGTACAAATACTATCTAATCTATTCATGCTCAGGTCAGGGCTAATTCTCTCAGTAACAGAATCTAAATGTAAATCAGCTGAGAGGCTGGGAGACCTTATCTGAACTCAGATACCCTTAAACATTCTAGAAGGAAATATATACCTCCACAAAGCAGGTTCTCCAAAGCAGCTAAAAGAAGTACAGAAAACTGAAAGCCTGGATTTGACTAGCGTAGTGGTTACGAAACGGGCTGCAAACCGCAAGGTCAGCAATTTGAAACTACCAGCTGTTCCACGGGAGAAAGATGAGGCTTTCTGCTCCCATAAAGATTTAAAGCCTTGGAAACCCTGTACAGGGTCGCTATGAGTCGGAACTGACTCTATGACATATAACCACCAACTAGTAACATAGTCTAAGGTCATTTCCCACTAATAAATTCTGTACAAAACAAAACACACCCTACTGTTGTCCAGTTGATTCTGACTCATAACAATCCTATAAGACAGAGTAAAATTGCCCTCTGGGGTTTCCAAGGCTGCAAATCTCTACAGTAGCAGACTGCTTCAACTTTCTCCCATGGTGAGCAGCCTTTTGGTGAGCAGTCAAGCCCTTTAACCTCTGTGCTACTATGGTCCTAAAAAGATCTATAGGTACAAAAAATCCTAAGTCATTAATGGGGAAAAAAATTAACTGGATGAATGTCTTATCTTTAACAGTACAGAAAAAGTAATGCTGATGAAAACATAAATTCAGTAGCGGAGAAAAATGTAAATATAATACAGTCACAAAAAAAGTACAACAGAAGTCATAAATGGTTCAAAACTAGTACCTTAGTAGAGCACTAAGGAAAAGGGAATTGGGAGGCAGATTTATAGAGCTGCTTCTTCGTTGTGTCTTTCCTCAGATGCAGTCTAATTGACTCCTGTGTATTCCATCTGGTGAGGTTCATGTGTATAATCATTTATGTTGTTGAAAAGGGTATTTGCAATGAATAAATCATTGGTCTTGCAAAATTCAATCATAGGATCACCAGTAGTTTTGTCTATCACCAAGACCATATTTTTCAACAACTTCTTCCGCTTTGTTTCCACTTTTGCATTCCAATCACCAGTAACTATGGATTGACTTTGGTTGCATATTCAATAAATTTCAGACTGAAGTTAGTAGAATTCTTCAATTACAGCATCACTGACTTTACAGGTTGGTGCATAAATTTGAAAAACAGTGATATTAACTGGTCTTCCTTGTAGGCATATGGGTATTGTCCTATCACAGATAGCATTATACTTCAAGAGAGATCTTGAAATGCTCTTTTGGATGAAAATGTGAGTCCATTCCTCTTCAATCTGTCATTCCGGGCATATGATTGTCCACTTCAAAGATAGCTAGTATCAGTCAATTTCAGATTACCAATGCTTAGGACACTGATCTTTTTGCATTCCATTTCTTTTTTTGATGATTTCTAATTTTACTAGGTTCATATGTCGTATATTCCATGTTCTGATTATTAATGGATATGTGTAGTTGTTTCTCATTTTTGAGTTGTTTATCATAAACACATAAAGATGCAAAAAGTTTTACTTCATCCACATCATTAAGACCAACTCACATTTGAAGAGACAGCTCTTTCAACCTGAAGGACTCATCTTCACTGGCACTATATCAGACAATGTTTTGCTGTTATTAATTAAGGTATTCAGTGGCTATTCAGTCAGTAGCCTCTCCTTATTCCTAATGTCTAAGTCTGGAACCTCCACTGAAACCTGTCTACTAAGGGTGGCCCTGTTGGTATTTAAAATACCGTGGCATAGCTTCCAGCATCACAACAACACACAAGCCACCACAGTATGACAACTGACAGACAAGTGGTAGATGATTGGTTTAGAAACGTACAAATGGAGGTTTTGTTTATCACCTCTGACCAATGAGTAATTACTTGCTGCTGTGCACACTGTTTTAAGAAAGATTCCCAGGTTTCATCTTCCATGTACTAATAGTGATTAAGAGCATGGTAAGAAAGAAGTACTATTAGTATGCCACTGGTTTAGATGAATACTAGTTTTAAAAAGTTTACATCATGAGTTCTTCTAAGATAAATAAAAATATCTTTAAACCTCCTCCTAAAAACTATAGATTTTTTTTTTTTTTTAAATCAAAGGACAGGGCTACTGTGTGGTCTATCATACTGAGAAAGAAAATAACCAATTTCAATTTATATTAAAGTAAGTTTAACGCCTGAGATCAGCCAACTCAGCTTAGGGACTCATACCAGTACACAGTTTAGGAGGACTACATGAAGAAAAGAAGAGGGCAGTGAGTCTTACTGGTGATGGAATATATTTAATGTAAGTGAAGGTATTCAGGACACCATGCTCCCCCAGAGAAGCGGGATCTGAATGAGAAAACACTGGCCAGAAAACTGAGGTCTGCTGAATCAGTGCAATTAGAGCAATCAGTGCAGTCTAGAAAGGGACTTGGTGGAATGCCTCTTCAAAAGTGAGAGGCACAACAACAACATAAAATTACTAACCATGGGGCTGGGGGGAGAACATAAAAAGAGAAAAAAGTACTCTGGCAAAGAAAAACAAACTAAAGATAAATAAATGAAACAAAAACCAGCATCAAGCAAAAGGAAACTGTAAAACAGTCACAAAACATAAATAAAATTAAGTCAACAAACAATGCATATATACAAGGACACCATCAACAAATGATATATTTGAATGATGGTGTTGGCAAAGAATATTAAACCATGATCTGACAGAAGAACAAATAAATGTCTTGGAAGCAATGCAGAATGCTCCTTAGAAGCAAAGATGGCAAGATTCCATAACCCATACTTTCAACATGTTACCAGGATGGACCAGTCCCTGAAGAAGCACATCATTCTTAGAGAAGAGGAAGACCCTCAATGAGAAATACTAACATGGTGGCTACAGAAAGGACTCAAGTGTATCAACCATTATGAGGGTGGCACAGAATTGGGCCCATCCTTGTTTGTTGTACTGTGG